AAAAAAAAAAGAAGATTATTCCTAGGCCACTGGAATTTTGTGTGTTTTCAAATTCTTAAGTCACTTATTTATAACATTTTGATTTCTTTGTTGACTCCCTCAGGTGGCTAATTCCATCCATTGTGTGGATTTTTACGAGTTTCATCTTATTTCCAGGTTCTTGAGCAACACCTCATAGTAGCCCCTATGTGGTATAGGCTTTGGAACCAAATGATTTAGCTTTGAATCTGGCTCTGCCACTTACCACTTCTGTGACCTTGGATAAGTTGCTTAACCTCTCTGGGCCCTAGTTTCCTCATCTATAAAATGGAGAAATTGATCTACCTCACAGAGTTGTTATGAGTATTAAATGAGATGATACATGTAAAGTGTTTAGCACAGAGCCTGGAACATAGGAAGTGCTCAATAAAAATTAGTAGTTATTATTTATAATTGACCACAAATTCAACAGGTATTAGATTTCCATTATGTATTGTATCTTAGTGAAAAGAACAAGATCTTTGGAGTCAAACAGACTGGGATGCAAGTCTAGGTGTGCCTTTACTTTTTTGAGGCTCATTTGTCTTATCTGTAAAATGAACAACAGAGTACCTGGCATGCCCAACCACTGACTAATCAGAAGCTGCTATTATTCCTAATAACATTCATTGAGAGCCAGCACTGCACTTCAAGGTAATGTAGTTCATCTCATTAACATTTCAATAGCAGGCACATTCCTAGAATTAAAAGAAAAACAGGTGATTACTTTTAGTTATGAAAGATTCTGTGGAATATTGCACATAGATTTTATGGTTTGTTTTCCTTTCCTTTCCTTTCTATGTCCAATTGTCAGCATTGGACAGCATTGCCTGGCAGTTAAGAAAATAGACTTTAGAGGCTAACCAACCTGGAGTGGAATCCTGGCCCCACCACTTTCTATCTGAGTGTCCTTGAGCAAGTCACTTTAATCTTTCTGAGCCTCAGCTTCCTAATCTGTAAATGGAACATCATAATTATTTACGGCCCCTATTAGTATTAGAAAAATATATTGTAAAGCTTTGTAAATGGTAGCTGTGTCATTATTGTGTTGTTGTCATTGCCATTGGATTTTGGTCAGATCCATCTGTTGTTATCCTAAGTTCTCAGGACAGTGTTAGAGTATACTAGGTATTACAGGCTTTGGGCTTTCTGGTGTTTTTGAAGAACTGAAGCAGCTTCCGCAGGCTAGCCTATGAACATGGTTGGGAAGGGTCAGCCAGTTTGGGATTACAGTCTCCATTGAGTATCTCTGTTTTTGACAGAGCACTTCAGATGGAGTTTCTAAATCCTTGGAGCTTCATCAAGGTCAGTCTCGCTCACAGGTAAATGGAAACAATGGCACATTGATCAAGGAAGAGAAGAGTGATCATCATCTTCCAGCTCCATCACAGTGTGCCTTATCCAGAGACAGCAGCGTGTGTAATAATGGTAACCGCCACTTCCCTGTGAAGAAGGGGGAAAAGAGCCGCTTACGAGAGCAAAAGCTGGAAACTGTGGCACAACAGAAAGAATAATAATGAGCAGAAGATGGCTTCACCAGATCAGGAAGAGGGGAAAACCTATACTTTTCTGATTTTAGGCCCAAGTTAGAGGAGGACATAAATGCTTACCCTAGATTTATCCAGGATTTTGTCCTATTGTATCCATCTTTTCCCCTTCCCTGTCTTTTTCTAGGCCTCCAGACTTAGTGGTCTGCTTCTGGGAAAGCTCTGGTCAAAAAGACAAATGGCAACAGGACTAGCTCCTATTCTCAAATTGAATAGATAGCGCCAAATGCTCTTTACCTCCCCTGGGAGCCTAGTAAGGCAGTGACTGTCAGCAATCAGGTGTCATCACATAAGGCCCTATAGAAAAGTTCCAGCTTTGTTTTTCTGAGTCTTCATCATAATACTTATTTACAAAACTCATGGGGTTCTGGGGACAGCTGTTTGTGGCTTCCTACCTTGCTTTTTTCTCTCTGAAGTAGTGGGGCCTTGGTATATAACCAGTGTCCACCTCCTTCTCTTCCTTTCTCCCCACTCACCTACCCCTGAATTTTATACCACCACCTCTAGCTCTGGCCTGACAATTGGATAAGTAGATGTTTTCAGGGAAGTAAGGTAGTATTGGTTATTTTATTTTATTTTTTTATTTTTTTTATACACTTAAAAAAAAAAAAAAACTACCAATGGCCTTTGTACTGGGGGATTCAAGTGAGTCGGAAAAGTGGGCAGATTTTTCCTGCCTCTGAACTCATGTATCGTTTGTAAAATAGAAGATGTGGTGCAGTTCACCCACTCCCTGCTGCCCATACCCTGAAAGAGGGGGACTCAATGTAATGAAATTGAGTATGAAAGGGAACTCAAAAGACTGTGTGTATATGTGTGTGTGTATGTGTGTTTGTGTATCGGTGTGTGGATGGATGTATATATGAATATGTGTGTCTATATGCATACACATACCCTTTATATAAAGAGATCTATTTATCTATACATATTTTATATATATAAATATGTGTGTATATATCTATATATCTATAGATATATACACATGCATATATCTGTATATCTATAGATATACAGATATATATCTATAGATATACAGATATATGCATTCATACATACATGGTGATGTCCCAGAGGATTTACTGAATTTCCCAGAAATGCTTCCACTGCTATGGAGTGGGGGTTTCAAAAGACCACACTTTAAAATCCTTACTAAGTCAAAGCCCATCACAATTATGAGAAGATGGGCTTCTCTAAAGCAGACAAAAAGTACTTTCCAGAGATTGCCTGTTCAGAACAACAGACAGTTGGGTTATCACAAGCTTAATCTTGAACAGAGCCCTCACATCCCATATGGTGAAAACAGGAGGTTGGAATGGGATTGGGAGGAGTTGGGCATTTCCTTATGAAGGAGCAGCCTGGTTTGGAGAAAGAAAGGGGATGGGAGGTGATTACCAGGGCTTGCAGACAATTTGGAGGAGATCTGATCTGGAACTCCAGGATCAAACTGGCCTTGGGCTAGAACTGATTGTCACGAATCCGTGAAGGAGAGAGGACTAACATTGGAAAGATGGGGTAGGGAAGTGTGAGGAAATCGGCTTGTTTCATCTGTTCATTGACATTTTGACTACTGGATGTTTTCATTTGCCTTGTAAGGAAGACTTCAGAGGACTCTGGCCCAGACCTTTAGGGGTGTTCTATAAAAGGTTCCCAGCCCCCATGAGGCCAGAATCTGACCCAGACAAAGAGGCTATTCCTCCTTGCTGGAGATGCTCTTGAGACAACCTTGCATTTCCAGTTTCCGCCCTCAGCAGCCTAAGTATGAGGGATGGGAACACGGCGTGCAACAGATTAGCATTGTGTCTTCATTCAGGTATTGAGGCTTCCAGCCTCACACACCTTCTTTTGGGCTTTGTGATATTCTTGCCCAAGAAGTACATTTCTACAGGAATACAACTGACTAGCAGGGTTCTCTCTCTTTTCGAAAAAACCCCATGCCCCTTAACCCACAGCAGGTCCTTGGTGATTTTTTTCCAGACAACCAGAAGGCTGTTAGCTCACTGCCCCCTTGCAATGAGTGTATCATGAGAGATTGAAAACAGTCTGAGACTGTTTAATCCTAGTCTGGCCCAGTTGAAGAGAACACACAATTTTCAGAGGGAGGGATCCCTAGACTGCCTCTCCCCCTGCCCAGACACTTCTTACATAAACCAAAGCAGGATGACAAGAGTGCACACCTAGCCAGATATAACCAGGAACAAAGTGTACAAAAACCTCCTCTTTGGAACCAGCTCACCTAATTTGATCCCCCCTCTTCTCTTGGACCTGCCCAACCTTTCACATCATCTTGAAGGTTAGGACTTCTATATCTAGCAAGAGAGGGATTAGTAGTGAAATTAGATAGCTTGGAAATTTCTTTCTGGAGCCACAGAGGGAGGAATACTTTGGAGCTCTAAAAGTAACCAGAATCACTGAGCTGTGTTAAATCAAATATATATAGATCTCCATTTTCTAATAGGATGTACTTGGAGTTATATGGAAAGGTATTTTCTTCAGTTGCGGTTTCTGTGCATCTTGAATCTATTTGACCCAATCAAAATGACAGTATTGTTAACTCTCACAGCATTAAGATTTCTTATCTTGTAGGCATTCACTGTGAGAAGGAAAATTGCTGCTTTGACAGGGATGATTTCAGTTTGCCAAGAGGCTTGCTCTTCTCCCTTCCACACACCTCCACTTTCTCCTATCCTGGCCCAGGGTGAAACAAGTGGCTCACTTCCAAACTTGATTTTAATTTAGATTCATCATTTTGGGTTTAGAAGGTCACAAGAAAGAACAGTAAAGGGCCATATACCTATATTTTAATTTATCTGCCAAAATATACAATTTAGAAGCCAGAAAGACCTTAGTCTTTAGTTCATTAGTGGAAGATGAACTTTTTTCTAATTGGAGGACAAATTGGGGAAGGCGGTTCTGATCTTTGCTGTAAGTGCCTCTTGAAGAGACTGTCATCCTTCACTTGAGGTTCCATTTCTGCCTATGATGTGGCTTCTCTTGAACAAAGTCATATAGGAACCTCCAGAAATGACCCCTTTACCTTATAGGGCCACAAGCAAAAGCACCCTGGTTGTATATAGCCAAGGATCCCCAAGGACTTGCAGTTCTTGATCTCTGCTGGTGTGTCTTGGGGTCAGCCTACAATTCCCACCCTTATTCAGTGGCCAGTCTGGTCTGGACCAGGCCTGACAAACTTCCGCTCACTTGCATCATTTTCTTTCTGAGCCACAGGACTTCAGGTAGACTTTAAAGGCCAAGAAATGGCACTTGCTTTGGCTTGTTACATTCGATTTTTTTTCTCCATCTTGATTTTCTGGCCAAGTCACATTAACTTTTTTTGATCACTGAGAAAAACAGCCAGACAAGGCATTAGGGAGGGTGGTTAAGGTGGGGGTAGGGGGAATAATGCTTATGTAGGGTAGAAAGAACGTGGAAGTAACTGTTTGGTTATAGTGATCCAATCCATTGGAACCTTAGAATGCTCCTGTGGGCGTGTCAGTGCTACCCTTTCAGCCTCTAAGACCCTCCCCCTTTGAAATGACAATACAAGTAGACCACAGTTTAAAGTACATAGTGTAATTCTACTAAGGTTTAATCATTATACTTGTTCACTTCCTGATGCATATTTCCTAAATATGCTCGGGGTTCGGGGCGGGGTGGGGGGGTGTAAGTTTTCACTGTTCCACTGTGTGTCATTCTATATTTTTCTCCCTCCTGTGACTTTGGCATCTTCTTTTATTTGATTTTCCATCGTCTTTTCCCTTGGCTTATTGCAGTAGTCCACTGGTGCAGGTAGAGCTCAGTGCACCTATTCAGCTATTACTGCTAATTATCTTCAATATTGTCAGAGGTTATTTTGATGTTCTAAGAAAATAACTTCATTTTTTACAAAATCATCTTTTTCAAGTTAAAAGCAAAATAAAATACCCCCTGTGCTAGGGTGCCCATTTCAGCTTTTCACATTGCCCTTGTACTTTTATAAATGCTCTTTTTGTGCGTGTTGGTAGTAACTAATGACTAGTGAATTTTCATGTAAATGAAGCAAATTAATATTTCAGATTTTATTAATCTCTCATAACCCTGCCAAATCTGATGACTTCATTTTAGTTACTTCCTTGAAGACACTTCCCCTCCCACCTTTTATTTTATTCTAGTCTATTTTTGGAATAACATGCTAGGTAAAGAAACTTTAACTGCAAGGAATCAATGATTTTTAGTGCTCCCTGATAAATGATATTATTGACGAAAGTAAGAAATTCTTTCCTTGTTTTTTCCTGTGTTAATATCTCTTCTCCTGTGCTCTTGACAGTGTGTTTAGTGGACGGATAATATGTATTTCTCTTTCCCACTCCCAGATTCCAAATTCCCTGCCTTTTTGGCCCACCTCACCACAAAAGCTCCATAGTTTATTAACGTAAGTTTGAATGGATGCTTCTTAGGAGAAACTGCAGGAACTAATGGAAGCGTTTCAGAAAGGAATGAAAATGTCTCAGGAGTTGTTCTGTGATGGAAATTGGTCTGTTGTTCTGTTAATGCTGATGGAAAGAAACTTACAGTGCTTAATAAAAGTCTATTCTTTTAGTAAAAATAATTGTGAAATAATTTTGGGTGTGTGAAGTTTAATTTTTTTCTCCCATTTCTGGATCCCTTTCTGCAATTGGGGGATATACTTGTCTCAATTCAGAAGTGTTGCACAGAGATTTAGGAGCCTATTTGTGGTTGAATATCAGGGCAAGAGAGCCCGTACAAGAATCATCAAAAGAAAGGGCATTTTTGCTTCCTGATGAACTTCTTTATTTGGATGTTATAAAGGCACCTTTGACTCAACGTTTCCCAAACAGAACCCATCCTCCCTTCTGAAGCCTGCTTCTCTCCATGAGCAACACTACCTTCTACTCAATTGTCCAAACCACACACCAACCTGGGAGTTATCCTAGACTCATGCCTTTCCCTCATTTCTCAAATCTAATTCACGACAGG